CTCCTCTAGAGGAAGGTCAAACTCTAAAATAACTTTTTTTTTTTCCCCCGATGGTATTAAAACCCAATGCTCCAAGGAACTGTCATTGCTTGTGTCACCGGGGCTGCGGTGTTTGCAGTGCTGGGCTGGTGCCCGGCTGCCTTTGCACAGAGCTGCCTTCTCCCGTGCTCCTCGACTGCATCGCGTGGGGACTGGAGAAGCCAAATTGCTGGTCCCAGCGCCCAGGCACAACTCCGTGCTCCCGCTGCAGGCAGGGCCGTAGTGCAGAGGCTCCGGTCAGTGCGGTGCTGTGCCACGACCGAGGGGCAGCGCCAGGCGGAGGGGCTGGCACAGGCGAGGCCGCTTGGATGGGGACCCGGTTGGGAGCCTGGCTCCTCCTTGGGCCGCTGTGATGTGCAGGAGCAGGTGCCGGACCCCACCGCGGCCAAATTTGCCTTCGGAGGGGGATGATTTGGGTGTTAGCACAGGGTTAAGAGAAAGCCGCGTCCGGCTTTTAAATGCGATACAGACCCCAGGTCTGGCCGCCTCCTCCCATGGGTGGCTTTGGCTCGGCTCTGATCGGACATGCCGTGTCTTGCAGGTGCTGGCAGCTGGATTCAGAGGTGGTGCCAGCACTGAGCTGGGCAAAGGCCTCTGAAAAGGCAAATATTTGCTTTCTGCCACCCATCTTGCTGCTTTTCTCTTCTTTTTTTCTTTCAAAACACCTTATCTTCTGTGAATCCTGCAGTGCTGCCTGCCTGAGTCCTCCCCTGGGGCGGTCCGTGGACTCCAACACGTTTTAGGTGTTAAAGTTATCATCGTTAGTGAGCGCTCAGCAGAGCAGGCGGCATGGAGGTGGCTACGGGAGCTGCTCCAGGAGCTGAAGCAGGGAGTTCCCCGGCATGGGCCGGGTGCTGCCGGAGGACAGACCCTGCGGCCCTGCCTCTTTGCTCTTTCACTTTTTCTTTCCTGTTGCTTTTTTTTTCTCATGATAGGCCAGTTCTGCTCTTTGCACCTTTTTTTTATCAAGGGGAAGAGGATGGTGGTGGTTACACAGCAGCAATGGTCTGTGCTCTCTCTGCTTCCCCATCTTTTCTATCAGCTTTGTCCGGGCCCTCCAAGCGTTGCAGGAAGGGATGAACCATGGGGGTATCAAATGATTTGGACTCGTTTCTTGGGCTGGGAGAGGGCTGACAGCTCTCAGAGCGTTTTTGCAGGTAGCTTTTGGTGCCAGTGAGCCACGGAGGGGGCCAGCATGGTGGGAACAGGACAGATGCCACATAACAGGGACGGGGTGGACCCCTCCAAGCACAGCCCTGCTGGGGATGCTCCTGCCTCCTCCCCTCCTCCCTCCCGGCTGGGCTGGTTTTGCAGTGCCCCTCTGGCAGGGTGGCAGGTATCCTGCTGTGGGTTTTTTCTCCCTCTTCAGACCCAGCCTAACCTCAGGGAAAATCCAGCTGTGAGTTTTCTGGTTGCACATTACTGCCCTGAAGGCGGCAGTGATTTTTTTTGGACTGAACCGTATGGCCCTGAGGCCGGAGCCCACCTTAGCCAGGGAGCACGTGGGGACCCTGTGCCGTTGTCACAGGCAGGGCCATGTCTGGCTGGGCTCTGCCTGCCCCTGCATCCCGGCCGGCACGTGGGGCTGTTTTGCTCTCCCTTATGATTATTTGCAAAACACAGAGGTCCCGGTGCGTGGAAGATAAGCTGCCTGCACGTGCTTCTCCTCCCTGCCGGCTTGCTGCCTTCTCTCGCCGTTAAGTCATTGGGAGGTGACCGTGCTCGCGACAGGGGCAAGGGGCCTGCACTGGGGTCCATCGGCATTTCAGTTCTTCCCTGCTCCGATCAAGTTCCCAATGAACTGAAGGTTTCCTTGGGCTCTCTGGAGCCATGCATGGGTCTGGGGGATGTCCCACCTCCTCCCCAGGAAATGTCGGTCTGTGATGGGCCAGAAATCCTGAGTCTGGCGTACACTTGTGTTAGCCAGACATTTCTCCCTGCCTAATCACCTACTTCCGAATCACTGTGAAGGGATTTGGTTTTGCAGAGACAGGAGACACAGTGGCTTGGCGGAGGTCCCTTGGGATGGGAGCGGGTCAGCGAGGCAGCAGGATTGAGCCCCTCCTTGGCTGCAGAGCCCATCCTGGGAGGAGCCGCTCCATTAATATCTCCCATTCATCCCTCTTCCCGTAATCCTGCTGCCGACTCTGGCGCTCAGCAGCTGGCTCTGATGTCACCCGGCGAGGATTTATTGCTGCTTCAGGTGGAGAGCAGCAGTTGGAGCAGATGAAATCTTATGCCAGGAGGAGCTTGTTCCCTAAGCAAATTGCTTGGAGAAAATCCGAGGAGACAGATGCAGCTCCATCAGATACGCACATGCCAGGCAGTGGGATCGCGTGTCTGCTGGCTCTGCGTGCTGTGGAAGGGGACGTGCTCCGGTTAACTCCCATCTCCCCGGTGTCCCGGAGGACTCTGGCAGAAGGGGTACTTGGATATTTCTGCAAACCTCTTTAACCTTTGCTTTTATGGACCTGGGGCAGAGGTTGTACTGACACTTCCCGGGTGTAACACCTTCCTCATGCCCCCCTGGCTCTCTGGGGTGAGCAGGGTGATGTGCAGACACCGTTAATTCAACCTTTCTGTAGTTACGGGTGTGAAAACACCCATGAAGGTGCTGAGCTCTCTAGGAAGTCTTTTACAGGGTTTTGGGGTGGCACGGCTGCCCTTTCACTTGGAGGCAGTCGTCTGGCCCTCCCCGCAGCACATCAGTGCCTTCAGCTCCTCCTTGTACAGTCTGGGCCGTGCTGTGGGTCTGCTCCTGGCTTCCCCTGCACCCTCGGCTGGGTGCGTGGGAGCATCCCGAAGGATGAGGTTGAGCTGCACGCGTGGGCACGCACACGCACACGCGCACACGCGCGCCATCCCCAGGAGTGACCCCAGCCCTGGGGAAGGGATTTCCACCTACCTGCGGTGTCTTCGAACCACTGCCAGCTGCAACGCTTCAGGCTGCCCCAGTGCTCTTGGGGGTCCTTCCTCCCTGCCACCCTCTGCGTGCCCACAGAGCAGCATCCCCCTCTCTGGACAGCCCTCCCAGAGCAGGGCGGCCCCTTTCCATGCAGGGATGTGACCAGGAGAAACAACAAGTCCCAGCCTTGTTCCTGCCTTGGCCAGTCACATCCCTGCAGGCCTGGACTGGGATGCTGCCCCCACCCAGCAGACTTGGCTCCAGCCCCCCCCCAGCAGCCTGCCCATCCCAGAGGAATCCACGCACCCCGTCTGGGGGTAATTAACAGGCGTGTTGTAACTCCCCACTGTTGCACTCCCCAACTCCTGCTCCCGCTCCCGCCTCGAGGCCTGTTTATGTGTTGTGGGAGCCACCGAACCTGTTCGGGATGTTCTGCAGCCCAGGAACCCTCAGGGTGTGAAGTGGGGTTAATGCAAAGGCTCACTTGCTTTCAATTGCCTTTTTCGTGTCTCTCCCTACAGGAAAGAACCTCTACACGAACGAATACGTAGCTATCAAATTGGTGAGTCCCTCCGTGGTCAGGGCGGTGATGTTCAGGCCACCTGGGAAGGAGATTGTTCACCCTCCCCAGGCTGTTTGAGCGGGTCGAGCCGAGCGGGTTGCGATAGGTGATGGATGGGTGGCTGCGCAGGGAGCTGTGCTCACTGCTAGGAATTGAGGGCAGGCAAAGCATGTGATTGCAGGTGGGGTGATCTGGGCCCGAGGAGAGAAGAGCTGGGTCTTCGCTTCTCCAGGACCTCACTGTGGCCTGTGCTGCGCTCAGCTGGTGCCAGCGCTAGAGACCACCAGGAGAGGGTGGTTCCCACTAATACCTGTTCCCATTAACGTCTATCCCAGCACCCGGATCTCTCTGGAGGGGGTGGATCTGGCTCCCATATGGGCTGGTTTTCTCTCATCGTCCCCTGAGGCTTCATCTCCATTTTTTCATACCAGTTTTTCTCAACCCCAAATGCTCTCAGTCCAGCTGCTGCCAGCATGTGAAGGAGGTGTCTGACACCCAGACCTCCCTAACATCCTGCTCCCTACAACAGCCTTAACCGTTCTCCTTCTCTCCTCCAAGGAACCCATAAAATCCCGGGCCCCCCAGCTGCACCTGGAGTATCGGTTCTACAAACAGCTCGGCAATGCAGGTATGGGGCCGGGCTGAGCTGCTGCTCACGGCGACACGGCTAGGAAAGGGAGGCTTCCTATAAATATGACTCTGCAAATTGACTCCCCGCATGAGCAACTCCTGCCCATCTGCTCGGCTGGGAGAGGCCGATTTTACACAGAGCTACGTCTAATCTTTGATCCCTTTTTATTTAGTTCTTTCCCCCCACCTCCCCCGCAGCAGTCAGGGATGCAGATGGAGCTGCCTCCTTCGCCCTCCTGCCAAGAGCAGAGCCAGGCTGTCTGCAGCGCGGAGGGAGGGCAGTGCAGAGACATTTCCCCATCTGCAGCCCCCCATCCCGGCTCCAGCAATGGCATGGCCATGACAGCATGGCCGTGTGCTGCTCAGCCCTGTTGCAACCCCTGACAGCTTCTGCTTTGTCTCTTGCAGAAGGAATTCCTCAGGTTTACTACTTTGGCCCCTGCGGGAAGTACAACGCCATGGTGTTGGAGCTGCTAGGACCCAGCCTAGAAGATCTCTTTGATCTGTGTGATCGGACCTTCACGCTCAAAACCGTCCTGATGATCGCGATCCAGCTGGTGAGCACAGCACCTCCGCCTCGCCTGCGGCTCTGCATGGCTCACCCTGGCCCGCCTGGCCACAGACCGCCCCAGGGGAGCGGGGTGATGCGTGGTCACGGCGGTCAGGCTGTGTGGGGACCCCGCAGGGAAAGGGAGGGGAAGGAGGGGTGAGCCAGCACCTGGCAGGCCGCAGGACACACTGCCTGCTGGCACATCCCAGACCACCTCCCTCCATACCTCGCCCTCTCCCTGATATAGGAGGGCTCTCCCTCACCCCCACGCAGCTCCTCTCTGAGCACAGCCGAGCGTCTCTGGCTGTGTGTCCGAGGCCGGACTGAGGTTGTCTCCCAGGGCTAGAGGACCTGTTGTGCCCGTCCTTTCGACCCAGGGTGACGTTCGGGCTGAGGGGAGCAGAGTTGCTGGCTGGGGCGAGGCAATCGGAGCAGTCGGGCCCAGGGGAGGAGGGTGCAGGGATGCATGCAAGACGCAAGGTGCGTCTCTGCCGTGGTGCTGACATCTCCTTCTGCCCCCAGATCACACGGATGGAGTACGTCCACACCAAAAGCCTGATCTACAGAGACGTCAAGCCAGAGAACTTCCTGGTGGGGCGGCCGGGCAGCAAACGGCAGCACACCATCCACATCATCGATTTTGGCCTGGCCAAAGAGTATATTGACCCCGAGACCAAAAAACACATCCCCTACCGAGAGCACAAGAGCCTGACAGGGACAGCACGCTACATCTCCCCCCCCCCCACGCAGCCCCTCTCTGAGCACAGCCGAGCGTCTCTGGCTGTGTGTCCGAGGCCGGACTGAGGTTGTCTCCCAGGGCTAGAGGACCTGTTGTGCCCGTCCTTTCGACCCAAGGTGACGTTCGGGCTGAGGGGAGCAGAGTTGCTGGCTGGGGCGAGGCAATCAGAGCAGTCGGGCCCAGGGGAGGAGGGTGCAGGGATGCATGCAAGACGCAAGGTGCGTCTCTGCCGTGGTGCTGACATCTCCTTCTGCCCCCAGATCACACGGATGGAGTACGTCCACACCAAAAGCCTGATCTACAGAGACGTCAAGCCAGAGAACTTCCTGGTGGGGCGGCCGGGCAGCAAACGGCAGCACACCATCCACATCATCGATTTTGGCCTGGCCAAAGAGTATATTGACCCCGAGACCAAAAAACACATCCCCTACCGAGAGCACAAGAGCCTGACAGGGACAGCACGCTACATGAGCATCAACACCCACCTCGGGAAAGGTATGCACACACCGTGTGGCCAGCCCTGCCTCTCGGCCAAAAGGGAGGGGGAAAGGGACTGCACGGTGCGAGCTCCCCCCTGCCTCTCCTGCTCTTCAGCCTGGGATGTTGGCAGGGGACTTGGGGTGCTGCAGGGTCTGGCAGGGACAGGTTCCATGTAGTGGGAACATGCCCGTGTCTCTTTTTTTCTCCGTGCAGAACAAAGCCGCAGGGACGACCTGGAAGCATTAGGGCATATGTTTATGTATTTCCTCCGTGGGAGCCTCCCTTGGCAAGGCCTCAAGGTAACTGCCAGCTCCTGCTGTCCCTGGGCACAGCTGCCCTGTGGGTCTGGCTCTGCCCTGGCGTGGGCACCATCAGGGTGTGGGGAGGGGAAAGCTTTGGCTCCCGGGGTGTTGGAGGGTTGGCACCCCACCAGCTGCAGGGGCTGTTACTCTGTGCTGTGCTGAGTGTCTGTAAGTGTCCCCCTCTCTGTGTCCCTCCCGCTTTGCGGGTATCCCAGCTGCTCTCACAGTGGCTGTCCGGGAACCGTACTCCCCAGTGTTCATCTTCCAGACCTGCCCTGGGTGAGGGGATTCCCTGGGAATGAGCTCTCACTGTTACCTGGAAAAGGGGGACCAAGAAACCATTCATGGTCTGACCTCACCCAGTGCCTTCCCCGCTGCTGGGGACGTGCCTGGCCCTCATGCTGACCTGCTCCTTGTCTCTGCCAGGCTGACACGCTAAAGGAGAGGTATCAGAAGATCGGCGACACCAAAAGAGCCACTCCAGTGGAGGTGCTCTGTGAGAACTTCCCAGGTGAGGGCACTCTGCATGGCCTGTCCCTGTCCCCAGCCTTGCCCCAGAGCCCACTGGCCTGGCATCTTGTCCCCCTGCCCCAACTGAGCCCGCTCTGTCCCCGCAGAGGAGATGGCCACATACTTGCGCTACGTGCGGCGGCTGGATTTCTTCGAGAAGCCTGACTATGACTACCTGCGGAAGCTCTTCACAGACTTGTTCGAGAGGAATGGTTACGTGTTCGACTATGAATACGACTGGGCAGGGAAACCACTGGTAAGTGGCGAGGGAGCGGGGACAAGCAGAGGGTGCTGGGCCTCAGGGCGCCCGGGGGGCGGTGGGCAGCATGGTGGGGAGTCAGCGTGTTCTGCGGCAGCAGCCAGGGAGGATGCAGGGTGGCAGTCGTCCCTGCCACGCACATCCGTGCCCGAGAGATCCTGTCCTCAGCAGACGCCAGCAGCCAGCTCCAAGCTGGGGCTGTTGTGCTGATGAGTTAAAGCTGTGACACAAATTTGAAGCTCCTGGAGCTAAGGGGAACCCAGCAGTCGAGTTGGCACCTTGCTTTCTGCCATGGGCACCCTCCGTGGGCTCGCTGCAGCCAAACAGCAAGCATGGAGCTGCTGGGGCGGGGGTAGGGGCTGGGATCACACCCTCATTCTGGGGTGTTTTGCGTGTTTGGCCAGAGATTGGATCAGGGGGTGCGGGGTGGCAGGAGGGCTGCTGTGCTGCGGCTGATGTTGTCCTTGTCGTGTCCCCAGCCCACCCCCATCGGCACGATGCACAGCGAGGTGCAGGTGCAGCCCCCGAACAGAGACAAAGCACAGCCACACACCAAACACCAGGTGAGC